CAAAGCAGAGATACCCCATAATGTAAAACCTCATATCATATTCCAATCAAAGTGATAACAATGATGCTAAAAATGATGCTAAAAAAACAGTCAGGATAATGTATATTTAGCTAGTGTCAATAAAACAATTAATATCTAGCTCTACATTCAAGCCTTGTGGTGTTTGCGTGTGTAACAGGATCTACTTTGTTTCTAACATTGAAACAGCTCTTTTTTTGTGCGTTCCCCTCCAATTTTTATTAATCATGTCAATGCCAATGAATTTCAACGTGTGTGGGTTTCTGTTATGATGTTGGCGAAAGTGCATAGAGAGTGAATGCTCCTTAAAACCTTTTTTAATATTTGAAAAGTGCTCCTGCAGCCTTTCTCTAAGTCTCCTCGTAGTCCTTCCCACATATTGTATTCCACATGAACAATTCAAAAGATATAGCACATGTGAGCTATAACAAGTGATAGTTGATTGGATATCATATGATATACCAGTCACATTAGAGCTGAAAGTTTTAACAGGTTTCTTATGTATGCGATTGAAGGTACATAGCATACACCTGTTGCAGGGGAAAAAATCTTTGGTATTTAGAAAACTGAAAGTCAAAGGCTTAGGAGGGTTAACTATGTTAGGAGCCAGCATGTTTCTAAGTGTTGGCGCTCTCCGGTAAGTTATTTCCGGTAAATCTGGTAGTGTTTTCCCCAATATAGGGTCATTCTTTAAAATATTCCAATTTTTTTTTCTAATGACATTGGATACTTCCTTATGCTGTGTGGAGAAGTTGGTAATGAAGGGACAGTTCCTCTCTGTATGAACTTTGTTTTTGGGCATCAGGAGGTTCGTTCTGTCTGTATTGGCCACTTTGTTAATTCACTGTTAATACTGCTGGTGTGAACAAAAATTTTCCCACCTGGGAATGATAACATTTCAGTAAAATGAATAAAGGATAGAAATGCACATTTAAAAGATATTGTAGATAAGGGGGAATTATGTTCTTTTCAAGATTTATAAAGTAAAAAGAAAGTATTTTTTATATTGGATGAATGGCGGTACCACCAATTAAGACATTTTGTTGCAATGCTCCCACAGTTCCGAAGGACAGAGGAAGACATGTATCCTTTAGAACAAATGTTTAATTCAAATACAATTCAAAACCATGTCACTTCTAGGATTTACAAGATCCTTACTGAATTAGCTGGATATGAGTCCCAATCGTTCTTGGATAAGTGGGAAAAAGAGCTTGGAACAAAATTGAATGAGCAACAAAAAAATAAAATGTTTAAATTAACACATGGCGCGGAGAATATGAATATAGTTGAAACAAATTCTAAATGTATAGTAAGATGGTATATTACATCTAATGTGGTACACAAACAAATACCTTTGTGTTGGAGGGGGTGTGGGATTAAGTTAACAATGGCACATATTTGGTGGGATTGCCCTAAAATTTTGGCGGGTGATAATTACATACAGGAGATACTAGGGATTAGTATACCGATAGACCCATGGGTTTGTTTATTCCACAAATCAGAGACTTCAGTGAAACAATATAGGAATATGATACTATTTCATTTAATAAACGGGGCCAAAGGTCTCATTCCCAAATTGTGGCAAGCAATAGAGCCCCAAAAATAATTGATTGGATAAACAGAGTTTAGTGTATATATATATATATATATATATATATATATATATATAAAAGATGGAAGAATTCTACCATATTGACATGGATAAAATGGAACTATGTGGCCCCGAGCAGCTAAAATGGTAATGTTTCATAAACAAGTATCCAACTAGATGGGCCACGGCCACGGTGATAATCAGACCTTCCCGAGATCCCAGACCGGGGAAAAGAAACCCCGCCAAAGATCCCAGGAACTAACTAAAATAACATTTCGGATACAGAAACCCCAGTCAATTGAGGAATCAACGAAGGGGACAGTAATTGCACAAGGGGGTCACAGAAAGAAAAAGAAAAAAAATAGTGAATGAAATAGAGATGAAAAATTATAAAATAGGGGTAAAAAAGATAGGAGGAAACAAGGAAGGACCAGTTAAAAAGGAACCAATAGAAAGGGGACATAAAGAGATAGCGGAATAGAGCAGATCAGCCCTCCCACCCAGGGGCCCAAACAGCACACAAACCAGACAACAAACGTGTTGAGCGCGGCAGATGCTCTTTTGGCTCTCTCCCTCCTCATTGGCTCAGACACAGTAGTGGGAGCCTTTGGCTGTTAGTCATAACCAGTGAGGAGGGAGCGGGGGGTGCGACTGAACCAAGATGTGTCTTATGGACATAAAGAGCCAGCTCGGGAGCAAGCACGCACATGTGCCCCCATAGAGCTATGGGCAGGAGGGGCCAGGAGCGCTGGCGGGGGGACTATCCCTGACTTTAGTTCCGCTTTAGGGAGCTTGTACAACAGACTGACAATACTGCTACTGTTTGGGAAGCAGTGGATTAGTGTTTTTAGCCTCCAACAAGCACTGTTACATGCAAGATCTCTGGTAAACTGCATGCGGTAAGTCATGAAGTCAAACAAACTGAAAAATGGATTTTGGGGCTTAATAACAATTTAATCTCAGCCGTTTACACTTGCCTGTAATGTAAAAAAAAAAACTACACCACCTGTACATACAGTGCACTGAAAGAAGGTGTTCATATTTCATCCCTCTGCCAGTAGATGGTGATGCTGAGCTTGAAAAGAGTTCAGATTTAACAGTGATGTACTCTACACTAGTTTGATATTACCTCTGGACTTCAATGCAGATCTATAAGGCATTACTACGTGTTGCAGTAACATGCAATATAACACTTGGCTCTTGGGGCTACAGTAGCTTACACTAGCATTGCTATCCGAAGAGCGATGCACAGTTGGATCGCTCTTCAGAATGCATTTGACAGGCAGCAAGTAGCAGGGGCGGACTGACAACTCATGGGGCCCCCGGGCAATAGGGGATCATGGGGCCCCTGTGTCCTTGCCCAAGCTCAAAAAAGCCTATGAAAAAGGTACCAGGGGCATCTCATGGGGCCCCCTACTGACCCCGGGCCCTCGTTTCCAAATGGTCAGTCCGCCCCTGGTAAGGAGGCATTATATTGCTGTATCGGTTTAACCCCTTAAACCCTGCACTAGTGTGTGCAATGCCCATGGTTGCAGTGCTCCCTCTCTTCAGTTAAGTGGGTCGTGTCCAACAAGCGGTACTGCCCAGTGAACACAACTATGAGAACAATTTGTGCCGAGCTGCAATGCAAAAGCATTGTGGCCACAGCATATGTACTCCCACCCAGGATCGGTGCTAGACTATTTTGTGCCCTAGGCAAGACCAGCTAATTTCACCCCCTTCCCACCCCCCCAAAAAATAAATAAATAAATACACATTTTTTAAAAAGTAGAAAATTATAAATCAACAAAACATGAAACTGCTGAATTTCTTTTAGTTTGCAAAAATAAGTGCCACCAGCACCAATTTTAAAGACAAATTCAGTATCACGGACAGACTGTATCTGTGGCTGGCGGTGGCAGGGTGACAGTTGCAGTGAGTTGAGGATGATGGATCCACACTCTGACAGATCCCAGGCTGGAATTCCCCAGGCAATGGGGGGAGATAAAACACTGTGACAGCAGGCAGCCCAGCTTACACACACACAGAACAGAGCGATCCCACACAGTAACAGATCCGACACAACACACCACCACCAACACTGACACAGATCAGCAGGCACTAGAAGAGCAGGCTGTGGGATCATGATGACGTCATCACTCACTGACACATTGCACATGCGGTGGATGGCCAGCCAGGTCACACTCACTCTCACACAGACACGAGACATCAGAGTCAGACATTCTCTTCCTCCACAGGCGCAGCTCCACCTCTGCCTCCACTGAGGAATGAGAAGAGAAGAGCTGGGGCACCAGTGATCAGCAGCCGCCAGCCGGTTTGCAGTAAGGGACTGAGTCTGAGAGGAACACTGGAAGGAGCAACAGCTCAGCTGCTACACTGGCCCCAGACAACTGGCATCTTCCTCTGTCCTTTCTTCCTCCCCTCTGCCACCTCTTCCCTCAGCTGAAGGATTATTCATGACAAGGTGGTGTTCCGCACAGAGAGAGTGGAGACCTGTGCTGCGCCCAGGCACCCATAGGTTGCAGTGCTCCCTAGGTAATGGCCTAGTTTGCCTAGTGGAAGCACCAGCCCTGCTCCCACCCTCTTCTGCCTTTGTAAATGTAAATGAGGCCTTAGACTGCGTTTGCCCACATAGGGATGCAGGGGTGTTCTGTGCATCCCTGTGCGGGCAGTCCCATTCATGTCTACTGGGATGCAACGGCTGCACTGACACAGCTGCTGCTCCTGATTTGACAGCTGTGAGGGTGTCAGGAATGGACTCAGCACTGGTGGTGGGACTCACCTGCCGTGTGGGCTGCAGTACCAGGGCTGACCAGTGGGTGCTCTCAGCAGCCAGAAGCTCACTCCTGCAGTCAGCCAACACCTGGGGCTGATTGCAGGAGGTGTATTTAACCACTTGCCTACCAGGCACTTATACCCCCTTATTTACCAGGCCAATTTTCAGCTTTCAGCGCTGCCGCACTTTGATTGACAATTGCGCGGGTCATGCAACATTGTACCCATATGAAATTTTGATCATTTTTTTCTCACAAATAGAGCTTTCTTTTGGTGGTATTTAATCGCCACTGGGCGCTTTACTTTTTGCGCTATAAATAAAAAATTGCCAAAAATTTGAAAAAAAAAAAAAAGTTTCTTTGTTTCTATTATAAAATTTTACAAACAGGTAATTTTTCTCCTTCGCTGATGTGCGTTGATGAGGCAGCACTGATGGTCACTGATAGGCGGCACTGATGGGCACTGATAGGCAGCACTAAAGGGCACTGATAGGCAGTACTAATGAGGTGGCACGGATAGGCGGCACTGATAGACAGCACTAATGAGGTGTCACAGATAGGCGGCACTAATATGCAGCACTGATAGGCGCCACTGATAGGTGACACTGATGATGGGTACTGATAGACGGCACTGACTGGCATCACTGCTGGGCACTGACTGGCGGCACTGACTGGCACAACCGCTGGGCACTGACTGGTGGCACTGACTGGCAGCACTGGTGGGCAGCACTGGTGGGTGGGCACATGTGGGTGGCACTGGTGGGCACAGGTGGGTGGGCACAGGTGGGTGCACTGCTGGGCACAGGTGGGTGATCTGCTGGGCAAAGGTGGGCGGAGCTAGTGGGCGCACTGCAGGGCACAGGTGGGCGGAACTTGCGGGTGGCACTACTGGGCACCGATCATCAGGGCACTGATCATCAGTGCCCTGATGATCAGTGCCGATCCCCGCTCTGACAACTGCCGGTTCTCGGCAGTACTTTCCTCACGATCTGACAGCGTGAGGAAAGTGCAGCCGAGAACCGGCACTTGCATTTCCCTCTGATCAGCATGTCATTGGACACCGCTGATCAGGTGGTAAAAGGCCGCTGTGATTGGCCTTTTACCACATCACGTGATCAGCTGTGTCCGTAGGACACAGCGATCACGGAGATCGCCGGGTGCGCGCGCCCCTGGGGCGCGCAGGAGAGCGCGTTCTGGGGGGACGTCATATGACGTCCCCCCAGAACTGGTCGGCCGCAGTGCAGCCATCATTCGGCTATCTGCGGTCGGCAACAAGTTAAGGAATGACCAGGCCTGTGATCAGTGCCTTGGTGTATGTTTCCCATGAGCCCCTGTACCTGGTATCCTGTGTTCCTGCCTATTTGCCTAGTTGCTGACCCTGCTTTGATCCTGACCTCTGCTGACCGTCTCCTGTTGAACCCCTGGCTTGCCTGACCATCCTTCTGCCTGATCCTCTGTACGTGCTGCACGTGAGTTACTGAACCCGGCTTGTGACCCTGACTATTCTCTGCCTGCTCCTCCGGTACCTCACTGCCCGCACGTTGCTGACCTGGCCTGCCTGACTACGCCTGACGCTACCCAGACGATCCATCCATCCCGTACGGATCCAGCCACTACTGTCCAAACCTGCCAGCTCCTTCACATCAGGCTTTCCCCCGGTACATACCCTCGGCGGACCCTTCTACCACAGTTGGGTGCACTCAGGGGCCGCAACCTGGTCTCAGTCCTGCGCCAAGTCCATCCCCACCATCAGGGGCTCTGGTGAAAAGGCAGACTGGGGCTTAGACTCCGCGCCCTGGGGAATCCTGGTCTGTGGGTCACTAGAGATCCGGGCGGTGCCTGACACTACCTTACTGCCCGGCTGACCATTCCACCTCTCCAGCCCTGACTACGCCTGTGTTCCTGAAGCCTGCTACTTCTCTGTGTCAGTCCACACATTTCTGGTCATACCCGGATCCCTAACAGAGGGTGTGGGTGAATGAACACAGACAGTGTGCATTCAGGGTTAAATCAGGTAGTGAGAAGGCAATATCAACGCCTACCAAATGCCCTCTAAAAAATTATCCAAAAGCAGGTCGCTCTTCAGAGGGCACCACAAGTATGAAAGAGCACTTAGGGCTAGTTCACACCACTTCATTGCGGTAATAAATGCTTTGGTGCATTGGGATGCCATTCATTTTGATTTTCACCCCAGTGCACCATCAGCACGTACACACTTGCAATGTAGGGCACCACAGCATACACTATATTGCCAAAAGTATTGGGCACCTGCCTTTACACGCACATGAACTTAAATGGCATCCCAGTCTTAGTCTGTAGGGTTCAGTATTGAGTTGGCCCCGCCCTTTGCAGCTATAACAGCTTCAACTCTTCTGGGAAGGTTGTCCACAAGGATCAGGTTTTGCCAAACATACATTCTGCCTATCACTGGGATTTCAAATGAGTTTAGGAGCATAACAACCTATAATAAATTTTTACTGATAAAAATAATGGAAGCGTTGCTTCCTAATGCAATACCGAATGGGCAGTTTGTATCTATTATGGAGGAGGGGAGGGGGAGAAGCCTGACAGGCCCATTTGAAGTATATGAGAGTATGCTATAGCTGATAAGAAAATAATTATATTTAGAACCATCAATAATCAATATATAAGTATATAGAAACCCCCTTTCAGAAAGTGTGCCACCAAATGTAAGTAATTGCTGAGAGAGAAAGAGAAGGAAAAATGACAGACATTTTCTCCAAAAAAGAACAAAGGATTAGAAAGAGGCCTATGCTTCCTGACTTCTGCCCCTCAGGCCAACTCCTTTCTTTCCCTGCTCTTTCTTTCACTCCTTGCATACAGGTGTGAGACTCTTCTCCTTTGTCGCATTACCTTCTAGCCCAGTCTCTTTCATGTTTATGTTCAACTCCCTTACCCTCTTGCATCTACATGAGCTGCAGACGGCGAACTTTCATGGGTACTGACGGACCCGGGGGTCTCCCAGCCTCTTGACTTTCTACCTTTTTAGCCTATTAATATGTGTTGAATTAATGCTTTCGTGTCAACCCTGGACTGACTTCTAATGTCTTTGTTTTGCCGTCCTTGCTTATGTGTGAGCTTATTCCCATTGCAAATATCATTGCTAATCCCTGCGTGGGCAGATCTACTGCTTGTTTATTACTTGTTAAAACCAAATAAACATTATTCAAATAGAAAGACGCCTATGCTGAAAAACCCCCCTTGCAAAGAATGCTGAACCCCGTATCTGCCCCTAAAAAAACATACATCCAGCACCTGAGTTGAATATGCATCATTTAGGTGGTTAATCCGACCCACCACCATCCACTGCCTACAAAGTGACAGAAGGAACAGGGCATACCAGCATCCTTCTCCCCTTACCCACTGCCAGGAACCACATGGCGTCACGGGTGTATACCAGAAGTTCAGCTGAGCATGTTCCCTAGAGTTTGAGTGCACTCCAAAATGGTGCTAATAGCAGTTCATCCTTCTCCCAGTGCAACCAACACCTCCTCCCCTTAAGGTGACAGCATATCACCCAAGAAAGTCGGCAGACTGGAGACATAACAAATCCTCCAAAGGGGACAAAGAAAGAAGAGAGAAGGGCAACGTGCACAAGGGAGAACAAATAATCCCCAGACTTGCCCATTTCACAGACCTCGCACCAGATATAAGTGCCAAATCCATCATGGGGAATACATACTGTACATCCTCCCTAAGCAATACATACTACGTATATTTGTGCCACTTTGGCATACAAATAAAACAGACATGTAATAAAAACAGATTCTTTAACAAAAATAAAAAAGAATAAAAAAATATTTATTACAAGAATGGCACAGAACTCTTTTCTCATTGAGGCCCAGGTATTCTGTGGCCTTTAGTCTATAAACTGTACCTACCTACATTCAGATTACAATAATAACCTATCAAGATCTCCACCTCTTCGTGCCTTAGAGCAGTGATCTCCAAACTACGGCCCGGCATGGCCCTTTGCTTGCTTTTATCTGGCCCTTGTAGAGCCACGCTAAACAGCGCTCTACATGCCTTCCAACCAAGAAAATGGCGACTGGAACACTTGCGCATGCTCGGTGGGGTGCATGTCAGCCATCTTTAAAAATGGAAAATCACTAAAAACATGGTGATCGCGCATGCGCAGTTGGCCAAACTTCAGCAAGATGGAGCCAGTGCGATTGGGCGCATTTTTACCTATAAATAGAGCAGTGTGACGTCCGGCTAGCATGGCATCACCCCTACAGTAGACGTGTCATTACACAAAACGCATCTAGGAGGAGCCCTTGCATGCCTTGACGTCATGCCGCTGGATCAGGAGGTCCGGCAGCCACCCTATGGTTCTACTGGTCAGTGTATTCAGGAGCTTATTATTACCCACAGTCACCCTGTGCATTTATGCTCATGTTGTTACTTCGCCAATTTGTTGTTTAATAAACCTTTGCAATACTAAACTATGAACACTTTTATCTTTACTACTTGGCACTGAGCTTCCACACCTCAGCCCAGTATTCCAGGTACCTGTCCAGGCTGGAGAAGCAAGAGTGTTAGACCAGACCATTATCCCCGCCACCTGCCACCTGCCACCTGAGCGACCACCAGAGGATACTCTCATTACCAGGCTATACTCTCATAGGACCTCCGGCTACATGAGATCTCTATATGCGTATTAAGATTGCGCTTCCGGTGAGTGGGCAATCTTTTTTATACCTTCACATCGGGATACTGGAATGCACTCGTTTTGATTGAAGTCGTATTCATTACTCTGGACTATCTACCATTCACTTTATTGGACTTTGTTATACAGGATTCATATCCAGCTTATATTATACGCTATTAGCATAAGACTAGAATATTATACCTCCATATCTATAGCCCATTAATATGAATTCTGCTGGTATTTACAAACCTTCTAATTGACTTCAAAGATGTAAAGTATTCTGTGTGCATGGGAATAGGCTTTCCACATGTTGTCTTAAATGACTATCTATTCATTAATATTATTATTATTATACAAGATTTATATAGCGCCAACAGTTTGTACAGCGCTTTACAATATAAGGGAGACAGTACAATTACAATACATTTCAGTACAGAAGGAATATGAGGGCCCGGCTCGTGGAGCTTACAATCTAAAGGAAGGGGGAGGTGATACAAAAAGGTGATAGCTGCGGGGGATGATCTGGTGAAGGTGATTCAAGTACAGTTCTTAGGTGGAGGTGGGGTATGCTTCCCTGAATAAGTGAGTTTTCAAAGATTGCCTAAAGGCAGACAGGGTGGGGGCTGACCGGACATACTGTAGTAGGGAGTTCCAGAGGATGGGAGAGGCTCTGGAGAAGTCCTGGAGGTGAGCGTGGGAGGAGGCGATGAGGGAGCTAGAGAGGAAGATATCCAGGGAGGAGCGGAGTGGGCGATTTGGGTGGTATCTGCGGATGAGGTTGGCGATGTAGCTAGGAGCAGTGTTGTGGATGGATTTGTAAGCTGTGGTTAGTATTTTGAATTTTATATGTTGGGTTAGTGGAAGCCAGTGAAGGGATTGGCAGAGAGGGGCAGCAGTCACTGACTGGTTTGTAAGGTGTATGAGTCTAGCAGCAGCATTCATAATAGACTGAAGGGGGGATAACCTGTGTAACAGTAGGCCAGTGAGGAGGGAGTTGCAGTAATCAAGGAGGGATAAAACCAAGGCATCGATAAGTTGTTTTGTGGTGTCATTGGTCAGAAAGGGGCGGATTTTGGAAATGTTCCAGAGGCAGCATTATTCGGCCAGTGATTGGATATGGGGCCCAAAGGAGAGGTCAGAGTCTAGGGTTACGCCTAGCACCCTGGCATGAGGGGAAGGACCAATGGTTGTCCTGTTGATCTTAATGGTAAAGTCGTAACTGGGGGATCGGGGTGAGGAAATATTACAAGCTCAGTTTTGGAAAGATTGAGTTTAAGGTAGTGGTGTGACATCCATGCTGATATGTCACTTAGTAAATTTGATATACGTAAGGAGATTGAGGGGTGAACTGGGGAGTGGA